GACAGTTGTTAGCTGTTATGTGAGTGCTGGGAATTGAACAGGTCCTTTGGAAGAGCAGTCAATGCTCTTAACCACTGAACCATCTCTCCAGCCCAAGTATTTGGATTTTTATGCAGATAACTACTACAAAAAGAATCTGTGTATGAAAAAAGGATATTAGGTGACTAGAGAGGGGCTTCTCAAATTAACATCAGCTGTACCTTTGCCCTTTGATACAGACAAGGATTTTCTCAAAGTAGCATGAAGAGTTCTGCTCACTGAGCTTCAGGGTGGGTATCTTAATCCCATCTTCCAAACAGATGTCCCATTAGTCAAAACATGGAAGGATTCCAGACTGCTTCCCAACCGCTGTGTTGTGCAGAAGCCTATATTCTTGTTTGGATCACTGACCATGCGTGACCAGGCATCTCTGGAGTGACCAGTACCCACTGTAGACCTGGGGTCCCTCCAGAGGTGGAACTTGCTGACAGACGGTTAATGAAATGCACATCACCTTACCTCTTTTTCTTTTCATGAAAGTAGATGTGAAATCAGAAGGTGGGAGCTGAGTGGCTGCTGCCCTCCCACTCCTTTTTGGCGGAAGCCCCTCGGCCTGTCTCTGTGACTTCCAGGTACCAGAAATTTAGGGAACTCTGCCTGCCATGTTGCCTGGACGGTGTAGCAAGTTGTCCAGGCCTCTTGCCCACAGGTTGCCCCTCTCAAGTTCATCTCTCACTGTCCTGCAGCCCTGAGTGTAAGCAGGCACCAACTAACTGAGGCCTTTCAGTAGCAAGCCCCCAGACCACCCATTCCTCCCTGTGTGGTCCTGGGATTACAGCAGGAGGTTTTTTGTTTTTGTTTTTGTTTTTCCAATCAGGATACTGTTCAGGTGGGACACTCAGCTGGGAAGAATTTGATGTTTAAGGGAGCAAGCTCTTCCCACCACTCAGAACCTGCGCCTAAAGAAAACTGAGCCCAAGGTTGGTGAATGTGTTCACCCTTTGCCCCTCTCTCTTACCCCTCTTCTTCTACTCCACCCCCCTCAGGGTTGGTTATGGAATACAAGGCCTCACACATGATAGACAAACCGTCTTCAACTGAACTCCATCCCTAGTCTCTTGCTGCTCTCTTAAAAGCTGGTCAAGAGCCTGTGTGAGGGCTCTAGTGTGGCCGGGCTGCTCTAATGACTTAACCATCTGCTCACTGCAGCAGGACATCTGGGGTCAGGAGGGGCAAAATCTAGGCGGTGTCTAGTAAGCTGTGTGCCTTAATGACAAGGGGCTATGTCCTTCAGTGTACATATGCAAGGAAGAAGAACAGAAAGCTGGGTGCAAAGGAATTTTTGTTTTGTGGGTCAGTGCCAGCTTATTATGAATGGGGATGTGGAGTGTTGCATTAAAGGGGACCTGAAGTCAGGTCTGGGAAGTTCTGTCTGCCCTGGAGAGAACTATCCTGCTGGGGGATGGGATAGGAACAGGAGTAAGGAAAGCATTTGTCATTTTTCCCTCTCTGCTGTAAACTGACACCTTCTGTGTCAACACAGTCTAAAAGCACCCAAGTGCCCTGGCCCTGGGGAGAAGAACCTCAGGCCTGTCCAGTGGGCACTTCATTGTAATCCTGATACTGTTTGGGAACACCAACAGATCTGTAGACTCCTGAATTCCTCTGTGTGATAAATCACCACACTGTTTTGCAGAGAGATAAGCAGTATGGTTTGTACAGAATAGTAAAGTCCATCTTCCCCAAGCATTTCCTTTGCCTTACTGGCCCCAAGTAAAGACCTAGTCCCTCCCCAGGGCCCAACTCCCTCTCCTTCCTCCATTTCTCCTATTCCTTTGACATCAGAGTTCTTGTCTAAAACTCCATTAGGACTTCTAAGACCCATTTCCTGGGTGACTTCAGGACAGAGATGTCCTTCTGTCGTCTTCCTAAACAGCATGAGTATTATTGTTATCGAGATGGCCAGTGCCACCCTTCTCTGCCACATGGCTGCTAACAGCTAGCAAAGCATGTTCCAGTCACACCCTTTTTTAGCTTCAGCAGTCCCTGGAGAAGTGGATAGGGATGGACTAGCCACCCTCATGGTTTAAAGAGAAAGTAGGAAACTGCTCAAGGTTCTGTAAACCCTGATTTCTTTCTTTTGTCCCATCATGTGGACCATAGACTAGATAGGATCCCCAGGAGCCTCACATGAGCATTCTCTCTTCTACCTCCAGTTCCAAGATTACCAGCAGGGACAAAGCTGCCTGGGACCAGTAAGGGAACTCAGAGTATTGCTAGGAACAGATAACTGTGATATCAGGATTACTATGTGACCCTGGAAAGTCCCTTTCCTTGCCTGGGCCACAGTGCTACCACCTCTTGTTAAAGTGTGTGTCTGGGCAGGAAGGCACGGGGATGGGTCTGTCCCAGCCTATTACTTAGTACCAGTCCTCTGATGTCTACCTGTCATTTCTATCCACAACCCCACCCACAGTCCATGTTATCTCAGGAAATTTGTAGTATTGGTCTCCAGCAGCTATCTGGGGACTGGCCTCAGGCCAGCTGGCTGCTAGCCAAACAAACTACCCATAGGCCGTTCACATTTATTGTTCACTTATTGGGTATAGAGCCCACATGTTGAGCAAATATGCTAAGAACGGAAGGAAGGAGAGACATGCAACCCCACAGAGGCCACCCAGGATTCCAAGGAGCCCAATCTTGCCACCCTTTCATGTGCTTGTCTCTTAACCCATCAAATATTTCCCTATCAACCCCTCCCTAGTCATGCACCAGGCTCTGGGTAGGAACTGCAAGGAGAGGGAGGGGAGAAAGAAGCAGAGGTTACCAGTTAGACAAGCACCCTCTTGACCTCAAATCATTCTGGAGGTCAGGAAGAGACCAGTGTCTCTTTCTAAGCAAGTGTCAGACAAGTCTCAAGGTGGGAACAGGACAGAAGTGTCCTGTTTGGCTAGCACCACCTTTCTACTTCTGTATGGTGGTTACCTGTCTGGCCTTTAAAGGAGTCTGGGTCTGCAATTAATTACTGGGGGGAAATGTCAACATAAGGATACTTCCCAGAAAGCTAGGGAGATTAGTAGAGCTGAGTTGCTGGGTATTTCAGGCTCTCCTCTGGGCTTCCCAACTCCCCAATGTGTGGCTGGATAATGTCACCCACCTTTGTAAAAAAAAAAAAAAAAAAAAAAAAAAAAATGTGGGGTGGGGTGGGGATCTGGCGTATGGGCATGTTGAGTGCAGGTGCTCAAAGAGATCAGAAGAGGGTGCCAGAGTCCTTGGAGCTAGAGTTACTGGTGGTTGTGAACCACCAGACAGGGACATTGGGAATTAGGCTCCGGTCCTCTGCAAGGCAGTACTTGCTCTTATTTGCTAAACCCTTCTCTCTCCAGCCCTTATCACTTATTTTTTGTAAAGTCTGTGGAAGGTGATTTCAAATCTTAATTCATTTTTTCTTTTTAATTTTTCCAGATAGGGTTTATCAAATCCTAATTCATATTTTTAGAAGCTCAAAGTCTCTCACAAAATTGTAGAAATGCTGAGGTGTTTTGTTTTGATCTCCTTGTGGCAGGATCTCAAGTAGCCCAAGCTGGCCTCAAACTTGACTGTGTAGCAAGGACGACCTTGAACTTCTGATCCTCCTGCCTCTACCTCCCTGATGCTGGGATTACAGATGTGCACCTCTACATCCATCTTACAGGTATGTCTTTGACAGGTCTTGGTCATCACTGCCTGGTCCAAGCACCTACAAATGTGCTGAGGTGCCCGGGCATGGTGCATGGTGGGAGAGAAGTGGCTTTCCTGAAACAGCTTATACTTACCAAATCCAAGCTCCCACCCAACAAATACCAAGAACACGGGCTAGTTGGTAGAGGTGAGGTGTCTATTCAGAAGTCCCTTTTCTGTCACTTTAACTCCAGGCTGAATGGCTACAGGGTCAAACTGGAGATAGAGGTGACTTGAGTCACCACAGGGCAGTCAGTTCCTTTGAGTGGGCACTGAGAGGCTGGGCCTTGGCTATTAGATGCCAGGGTACAGGGCAGCACACACCATTCTGGAACCCTGAGGTTAAGGCATCCGGATCTGAGAAGCCAGAGGCTAGTGCAGGCTTCTCCTGTCAGACAGGGGTTTCTGAGATCTTCTAGGACAGGTTGGAACCCCTACAAGAGACCAGGGAGGGCTGAGGATGGAGCCAGGGAACAGAAGAGAGGAGAAAAGCCTAGGCCAGCCTGGAACAGGAACAGAAGTGCAAGGGGTGACGGGAAAAGGGGAGCCCTTCCTTAAGCAGAAACCCGCCCCCCCCCTCAGCTCAGGCCGGCAGCAAAGCGGTTCTGCAGATGGAAGGAATTAAGCGGGAGGAGGAGGTTCCCACAGTGATAGCGAGAGGAGAAAGAGAGAGAGGGAGGGAGGGAGGAAGGGAGGAAGGAAAGGAGAGAGAGAGAGAAGAAAAACTTCAAAACAGACACTTAAAGAGGTGTTGGAGAACACCAAGACAGTCACAGAAATGCAATCAGACTAACACAGCAAGAAGAGGGAAGAGTGGGGGGGGGAAGGTGTGAAAACGACTTAACTGGAGAGTGCCTGGGAAGTGATGGGAGCCAGCTTACTGGGGGGCTAGCTGCGTGTTTGGGCCCAGTTGGTTCTGAGCTCAGGCTAAGAAGCTGGATGGGAGCGGGAAGAGGCTCGGAAGGGGCCACTCCTGGTATGGGGGCCGGCGGAATGCTGCATGTGCGGCCCCGCCTTCTTTCTTGCCCCTCCCCTAATCCATATTCAGCCAATGGGGGTGAGGGCGGGGGCAGACGGGGTGGGGCGGGGTCTCAGAAGACCCCTCCCTAGAAGCGGTCTCCCGAGGGGTCAGCGCAGAGGCAGATAGCGGATCCCCGGTCGGGGTGGGGTGGGGTGGGGCGGGGCGGGGCGGGGCGAGCAGCGGGCAGCGGGCGGGGCCAAAAGTTTCCTGCCCAACTTTCTCTGCCTCCTTCCTCAGCCCGCGCGCGCCCACTGCTGCAGTCCGAGGAGGCGGCGGCGGCGGTGGCGGCGGCGGGCAGCGCGCGGGGCACGGGGCGCTGGGCGATAGTCGTCGGGGCCGGGGCGGCTGGCAGTGGGCACAAGCTCCCCGGTGCCCGCCCCTCCGCCGGGAGGGGGGCGCGAGCGGGCGGCCGGGGAGGGGCCGGCACCGCCACAGCAAAATGAGCCTGCTGTCTGCCATCGACACGAGCGCCGCCTCGGTGTACCAGCCGGCCCAGCTGCTCAACTGGGTCTACCTGTCGCTTCAGGACACACACCAAGCTAGTGCCTTCGATGCCTTCCGGCCCGAGCCGCCTGCCGGCGCAGCGCCCCCGGAGCTGGCCTTCGGCAAGGGTCGCCCGGAGCAGCTGGGCTCTCCCCTGCACTCCAGCTATCTTAACAGCGTCTTCCAGCTGCAGCGCGGAGAGGTGGGTGCCCCAGCGCCAGCCCCGCGGCCGCTGCTCCAGACCCCTTTCCCGTCTGTTCCGCTCTTCCTGGCCTGGCCTGGCCCGGGTTGGCCCCACATTGCCCAGTTCGGCTTGGATCAGCTTAGATCAGCTTTGCCAAACTTGCCGCCTGAAGTCCCTGGGGCGCCCGGAGCGCGTCACCTCCCGGCAGAACTGCTCGGAGCAGCTCAGGCCTGGGCAGGGCCCTCCCGCCCCCTCTCCCAGCCAGTAGGTCTACTCCTAGTAAGCAGGCTTAGGGGTGTCTCCGGATTCTCGTCAGACTGCCCGGGTGCGGCTAGGGCAGGGAGCCCCTTCCTAGTCTTTCCTTTGCCCAACGCTATCAACTTTTTTAGCTGCCGGCAGCTGGGACCAATGGTTGCAGAGCCGGCTCTGAACTCTTCTGGAAGGGCCTAAAAGCATTGTCCCCCGACCTCCATGGTTCTTCGCTTGGAGGGGTCCTTGGAAAGCAGTGACTCGGGTCCTTTTCCTCCTGTTCCCAACACTCAAGGACCCCTAAATCCACCCTGCAGCTGCTTGCTCTCCCCTGACCACATAGGAAGTGGTTTTTGAGGGCTTGACCTAGAAGACTGCTCTGTCCCCTGCCTTCCCAGGCTGGAAGGAAATGAAAGGGAAATCCTTTGGGGGGGGGGGGGTGAGGCTGTGGCGATGGGAGAGAGAGCTCCAGCTGCCTATTGCCTTCTCCCAAAACCCTGGATGTGTTGCAAATCCTGCCTGTTCAATGGATTCGGTTACAAAGTCTACTGTCCAATGCTTGCTCCCAGATAGATAAACACACAGGTAGCCATGACCTCCTCAGCCCCTTTTGTGGGGTCTTATCCAGAGTCTGACCAGACTCTACCATAATCCCCCCCATTTACTCCAGTTTGGGGATTGCTGATACCTTCTGTGCCTTGCTCACTTGCCCCTTCATGGTTTTCCTCTGCTAAAGTGCCAGAGGTAGAGGGGCACACACTTTCCCTCATCTTCTGGCCTAGAGGTGGTCTGGGAATAGGACCTGTGTATTCCGGGTGTGTCGGGGGTGAGTTGTGGAGCCAGAAAATCATCCTTTCTGGCCTCAGGTTTACTGGGGGACTCAGGGACATGTAAAACTGTGGTCAAGGCCAGCACCTCCCATGCTGCCCTGCTGACCTGTGTGGGTAGAAGTGGTGCAAGGGGGCTGGATGTGGTGGCAAGCAGAGCCAGGGGAGTAGCATTCATACGCCAAGCTCTTCATAAATCCCAACACATGTTCTCTGCCCCGAGGAATGAATGGTTCCTGGCTGGGGTCTTCCTTCCTTATGACAATTTGTTGTCTCATGAGGAGCTGGCTTCAGGTGATCAATGACTTTGGAGAACTGTTTGTGGAGTGTTTCTTTAGGACCTGGGTCTTTTCCATTATTAGTTCTCTAATAATCATATCTAGGTAAGGAGTGACACAGATAATACTTGTAGGAAAGGCAGGAGAGTGGACAGGGTTCTCTGTCAGTGATCGTGGATGCATGGAAATGTACTCAAGTGATGGTTCTTCATCCAGGCAGAAGATGACTTGACCCAGGGGTCCACAGAGACACAATGAGCTTTTAGTAGACTCCCTGTCCTCCAACCCTCCTGCCTTGTCTCTCACATGTGGTCCCTTCTCTGCTGCCCATCAGTCAATGATCCTCTTGGGAAATTTTAGCCTCCAGGATCCCAGCTCTGGTGCAGTCAGACCTGTCCCCTGCCACTTTGTTGTTGTGTTCCTCAGTTTCCCTTAAGAAGGGGCCTGGTGTGGGAGGAGCTGAAGCCATGGTGGGGGAAGTGTCTTGTAATCTGAGTCCAGAGAGTTCCCATCTCTCCTGCCTCAGCTTTCCCATTGATAGATTTAATCTCTGTGGTCACCCAAGGTGGTGTGTTCCAGGTTGGAGGCATACATAAACAAGAGAATACCTGCCAGCAGACAGCCTGGACCAAGGAGATCAGGGAGAATTTTCACACTTGAAGACTTATGTTTTCCTTGGGGGCTGAAGAGCTGTGTGCTCCTGGGTTCTGCCTTCCTCGTTCTCACCTTCCAGTCCTTGACCTCTTAAACCCTTTCAAAGCTCTATTCTCGGGCATGGGCCTTTCCTGAGCTCTGGGCTTAGTTGGTGATTTGTTATGTAGCTGAGAAGGTGAGGACCTTCTCCCCAAGTCAATGCCACCACCAAGAGGCTGGGTGCAAAAGTTCCATGCCACAAAGGGGACTTTAGGAAGGGACCCCTGGTCCACAAGCATTGCCATTCTGTTCGAGGCCTGGCAGGCCCGGTGGCAGTGCCTGCGGATGTGACTTGCATGCTGACTGCTGACCGTAGCCTGCCTGCACCAGCCCCTGTGCCAAGAGCCCACCCCCTCCTGTACCGCCCCCAGGCTGCTGCCTCCACAATAGCAAAACACCATGAATGCAGCTGGCATTGGGGGAGGTGAGGATACAGGGGCACAGAACCCTATTGTGGCCCTGAAACCTCAGCCCTGGGAGCTGAAGATAAGCCAAGGGTCCTGAGTGGCCCTCTGGCTCTGGGAGCAGAGAGGAAGGTAGAAGGATTTACATACAAGGGCAGGACACATTCCAGGAGGTGGCTTTCAGGTGGGACATGAACACTTTGTAGTGTCTTAAAACACTTCTGGGTTCTGAAATGAGACCTGATAAATCTGACTTTCAGAAATGGCATCTGTGGTCTTCAGAGAGAGAGACTCCTTGGCTGAACCCCTCTGTCCAGGTGCTGCAGGAGGAGGCAGGGCTCAGGAGGGGGTTGAACTGCATGGATCTTCCTTGCCAAATTCTGCTTGGAATTTAAATTCCCAGCAGTCTAACCATCACAAATTCCATTTCTGGAAAAGTAGAGTTAAGCATTACCTCTTGGATCCTTGGCGGGGTTTTCTCAGAGCCAGTCCTGGCAGTCTTTGTACCCCACTCCCTGCACACCAGGGAGACAATTCTGCCTCATGTCATTTAATTCATATTCTTAGGACAGCTTTTCCCTTTTCTCTGAGAATAGAAGTAGCCAGAAAGTGCAGCCCCACTGCCAGATGACCACCTCCTTTGTGAGCTTGGGGGGGGGGGGGTGAGGGCTCAAATAGGCTTGGGAAGCATAGCGTGCTTACTGTTCACACAGTGCCTGCTAACACAGTAATAGGCTCGGAGAAGTTCTGCAATTCAAGATGTGTTAACAGTTCCTCATCCCAACATTTCTTATAGCTAATTCAACCAGAGAATGGTTTTGACTCAGGACACCTGCCAGTGTTCTTCCAGCCATCTTCAGGTCTGGTGATGCTTCACCGAGTCAGACAGGGAATTCCCCTGAATCAGCTATACAGTCTCCTGGGCTGCATAGCTCTAAACTGCAGGAAGCTCTTCTTGGTGACCTAAGGTGGGGAGACCCCTGAGTCCTCACATCACTTTCCACGGTGCTGCAGAGCCTATTCTTTTCCTCTGTGGCCCACCTATTGCAGATTTGTTAGTGTCACCAAGGGTCTTCAGCCCTTCTGCACAGAGATGGCAGTGAGAACAAACAGCGGAACAAATATAGGGTCTTGTACAGGGTTCCAGCTGGAGGAGGTGGCTCATATCTATATTCCTAGCACAGGAGGACTGCCATGAGTACAAGGCTAGCCTGGTCTAGAGTAAAACCCTGTCTCAGAAAACAAAGTAGGGCTGGTGAGAGGGATCTGTGGTGAAGGTTCCTGCCACCAAGCCTGACACCTGAGTTTAATCCCTGTGTCCCAATGTTAGAATGAGGGAACCAACTCTTGAAGGTTGTCTTCTGACCTCTATGTGCATGCTGTGGTGTGTGCCCACAAACACACAGATAAATAACTAAGTGTAGACATTAAAACCAAACAAACAAAAGTCCCCAGCCTAGACAGCTGTTGGGAGTTTGGTTGAAACACCATATGTGCCTGTAGGGTGCCCAGAGGCTCCCAGTTTGGGGCAAAACCACTCTCCCCCCTAGCAAGGGCTGAACTTGACTCCCACAAACTGTGTGGTTTGGTGGAGATGGGAGGTAGGCAGCCCTGATATGGGAAGAATGTCCTAGAGGTATGACTAGGGAGGAGTTCCCAAATGTCTGGCCGCTCCTGTCAGGATGCTGAATGGTGACTCAGGCAAGGATACTGCCCCTTGAGAGGGGTTGGCACAAGCAGCCTGGCTCTCCTCTGTCAAGCTAAATTGACTACATACTAGGCTCAGAGGGAGATCATATAAGAGGAAGAGCCAGGTAAGTCAAATGGTGTGAGGGCAAGGGACTAGTCTTGAGTGACTAGTGCCATCAGGACCCAAGGTGGCATACATACATGAAGTCTAGTGCAAGCAGCAAGCAGCAAGCAGCCCTGTTTGTAATTTTGAGACAAGGCTTCACCTTAGCCTAGGCTGGCCTTGAACCCAGGACAGGACAGTTCTCCTGCTTTAGTCTCACAAGTGCTTAGGGCTTGAGCTATCAACTCATCACTTCTATTGTATAGAGAACAAAACAGAAGCCTGTGTGACTTGAGACATCAGTAGAGTAGGTCAAATCTGTATCCCAGCCTGGAGCTATCTCTATAGGCTGGGTTAGCTCCTACCTGCACCCTCCTCCAGGCTCTGTGCATGTCAAGCTCCTCACCTGAGATTTCCTATCAAGCCACAGTACCTCTCATGTTTTGTCTGAACAGTACCTATGACGTTTGGTCTATGTTTTTGTTTTTTGTTTGTTTGTTTGTTTGTTTGTTTTACATAGACCAGGCTGGCCTCAGGCTTTCTATGTAGCTAAGGGTGACCATGGAGTTCTGATCTCTTTGTGTCCATTCCACAAGTACTTGGATTACCGGGGTATGCCATCATGTCCAGTTTAGGTAGTGCTGGTGACCAAATTCAGGGCTTTATGCATGCTAGGAAAGCACTCTCCCACAGCCACATCCTCAACCCTTGGTCCCAACCCTTTTGAAGAGTCATGGGCACTTGTGTAGGTACTAGGTTTCCTGATGTGTTCCTA